TAGGGAAAAGGCCATTTTATGTGGTACTTAATATCACGTTGTTTCATGGTGAAATATACACCACATTACAGTAAAACGCTTTTTAATGCAACATGTCTGCGCAGCTCATCCATTTGTTAAAATCTTGGCCAGAGAAGACGTTCTGAATCGTCCTCCTACGCCAGACTCCTGCTGCGGCCACGGAGAGTGTGTCAGCATAAACTCTGATAGCGAAGCCAGTCTATGTTAAAGGACCTATATTGACAGACATGCAAATAAGGGCGATGGTTTATGTTGGCAACGCTCCGCTCTCTTCTTGAGCCGTAAATTTAGTCTCTCTCAAGTTGTCCAGAGTGGCTGGGGTCCAAAAGACGGTGGGTGGTAGATCCAAACATTTAGTTATTTAATCCTTTTGGCAGCGGGCTTGTGGATCACATCAGCTTTGGCTCTGGTTATAAAGAACGCTCTTTACCTCAACATTTATCTCGGCGAACTACGAGCATCTCGCTAACGGTAGATTGTTCAGTCTAAGTGTGTTGACATTAATGAGTTTGTAATTATTTTTTATTGCAAAGCGGGTACGAGGAATTGCCTGTGGTCAGAGGTGGGTTACGTTTCAGACTGTGAAAACGCCTGGCTACATTACGCGAAACATTAATGATTCATCAGCACACATCATTCCATTTAGTATTCTGTTATATAAATTATATTTATAACATCAATGATTCATCAGTACACATTATTATAAACTTTTAAAAATGTATTTATTTATTTATGGGGTGACATCACCAAGCCCTTTTATTTTATTTTATATAAATAATAAATATATAATTTTTTATGAGAATTCAAGTGAAATTATGTGCTTTAACAAAAATAGCTTTCTGTAAAACATCTGGTATGATCAGCTCATACACTTTCACATTTTTTACAGTTTTTATTTTATTTTAGTTTAGTTTAGTATTCTATATTATGTAAATAATAGCATTTATAACATTAATGATTCATCAGCAATTTTTATAAATGTTTTTTTATCTTTTG